TCATTAACTATGTCCTCTGGAAGGAAACAGGTGGACTGGCGGCTTGAAAACAGGAAGGGATCAGGCAATCAGAGTTTTAACACGAATAAAGAGCAAGCATAAGCCGGGCAGTGGTGGCGCACACCTTTAATCCCAGCACTGGGAGGCAAAGGTAGGCGGATCTCTGTGAGTTTGAGGCCAGCCTGGTCTACAGAGCGAGATTCAGGGCAGCCAAGGCTTTTACACAGAGAAGCCCTGTCTTTAAAAACACACTGGGAGGTGGGCAAATACAATAAGGACATGGGAAGTCAGAAAACTGCAGCGGAGAAAGTAGCTCAGAGTTCAGGGTCTTAGATATAAAATGGTCCCAAGGATGGCCATGCTTAGGAATAACTAAGTGGCGTGCAAACAGACACTGCAGTTGCTGAAACCAAAAAGAAAGATAATGCCAGAGAATTAGGACAGTCCTTGGAGAAAAGTCAGGTGCTTTTGGTTTGGTTTGGTTTTTTCAATTCTGCAAATCTATTGCCAATCTTGTACCTGCCTGGCTGATAGTAGGCATTCAATGAGCATTCATTTGATGGACGGATGGACGGACGGACGGACGGACAAACATTTTAGCACTTAACAGTGTTTTGTACTTCCCTGTCTTCTACCCGCTACCGAACCATCAACACCATCAGGTCTTTGCCTCTGGCTTCTTTTATCCCCCTCTGGTTTTGTTGAGACAGGGTCTCACTATGTAGTTGCAGTTAACCTGCTAATTCACTAGTAGCCCAGGCTGGCCTGAATTACTGGACAGTCTTTTTGCTTCAACCCCATGTGTACTAGGATTATAAGTATATGTTATCAGCACTAGTATAGGAAATGATAGGTACTTGACTCTGGGTTTAAGTCAGTGAACAAATACTGAACCACAGAGAATAATGACAAGTAAAGATAAAAGTTAAAAAAAAATTGAACCAGAAGCTAACATCCTCAATGGAGGTGGAAGACTATTTCATAGGTCTATAGACAAGAATTTTAATAGTATTTGTTTAATATAAGCAAATGATGTTGACTTCAAAGTGGAGAGATGAAGCCAGGCCTAGTGGCACAGGCCTATAATTTCAACACCCAGGAAGCTAAAGCAGGAGGTTCCCATGAGTTCTAGACCAGCCTGAGCTACATAGTGAGACCATATCTCCAAAAACCAAAACAAACAAATTTTATGTATCTCCCACATCAAAAAACAAGCAGCGAGAGGAGGGGTATGAACTGGGAATGGTAATTTCTCCACATACCACCCATTCGTAGTCCCCCACCCCAACAATCTGCCTACCCCCTCGTCTTTCCAGACTCACCCTGCCTTGCCCCCTTCTCGTGTTGTCCTCGTGCCTAGAGAGCTTCAATGGCCCTGTGCCATTCCCTCTGCTGCTAGGCTTTGCGATTTTGTCCTTACACACTATATCAAACATCAGAGCTCTGAAGTATTTCTAGCAAGATCAGTACTTGCAGACCTCCAGGGGCTCCCGTTTGACTGTCAAATCAAGTGAGACCCTGAGTGCTTTTCCATGTCCACCGTCCAGCTTTCTGTGAACTGGGGTGTATTCAGTGTGCACAATGCCTTACCTTTTTCCAAGCTTCTGATTACTGTTTTCTCTACCCATCCAGAGCCCGTTTCATGAGAACTCCCTGAAGACTCATTTTCCCTACAGCTCTAATGAAGACAACTGTTCCAGAAACACCTCCCTTCCTTTCCTTCCTCTCTCCTAATTACCAGTCATGAACATTATAGGTATCTTCTTTTCTTGGGTATCACTCGCTCCATGTTACTCTATTAATTCTGTCATGGAAGTTCCTCTCAAGTCCCTGTCTTTCTTGTGTCAGTGGCCTGTAGATGGTTGTAAAATCAGCCTTCAGTGTATTCTACACTAGAGTTCACTCATCTCGAAGGTGAAATTTTAATTGTGTCCCCAGCACACACAGCATACACATTGCACATGTACATACACGCACATAATGTTTGAGACATTTCACACACTTTACGTAAAAAGTCAGGCTCATGTATTTCTGTCTTTATTTCTTGCCTGTATGTCACATGGGCTCTTCGCTGAACCTCCTTTCCTCTTAGTACCCTCCAGAACCATCCCCATAGCCAGCTCCCCTAACTTCAGTCCACAAGCCTTCAACTTCCTCTCTCTGCTGGGCTTTATGTTTTATCTTAACATTTCTGGGGATCAAATTCAGGTCTTATACCTGCTACCTTCTATGCTTTAAAAAGGCTTTTAAATTTTTTAATTAAATTCTTTAATTTATTTGGGGGGGGGCACACATGTGCCATAGCTACTTATAGAAGTCAGAGGACAACTTCCAGGAGTCGGTTCTCTCCCTTCTACCATGTGGGTCCTGGGGATGGAACTCAGGTCATCAGGCTTGGCTGCAAATGTCTTTACCCACGGGGCCACCTCACTGGCTTTCACAAAACTTTCATTTCAAAATAATCACACATTCACAGGAGATTACAAAGGGAAGTCCTGTGCACTTTCCTCTAGCTTTGCCTAGTGTGACAATTTGCACAATTACAGTATACATCACCAAAATGAAGAAATTATTTTGGTATAGTTTATTGACTTCATTCACATTCCACCGATTATGCATACATTCATGTATCTATGTAATTTTATCATATCTGATTATGACAACTATAATGAAAATATAGAACTATACCATCACATGGCTGTGTCGTGCTACCCTGTCCTATCATAGCCATCTATCACTACTGACAATGACTAATCTCTTCCCTCTGTAGTTATGATTTTCCAATGTTATATGAATGGAATCACACAGTATATATTTTTTAAGATTGGCCTTATGTACTCTGCATACTTTCCTTGTAATCCTCCCAAATTCTTTGCATATAATAACGGTTTGTTTCTTCATATTGATGAATAGTATTCCACTGCTGTGGATGCTGGCTTGTTTAATCATTTACCCATCAAAGTACATTTGGATTTTTTTCCAGTTGAAGCTATTTTGTGTAAAGATGCTACACACATTCATGTACGAGTTCCTACATGAAAATAAGCCTTAACTTTCTAGAATAAATTGCCCAAGAGTGCAATTGCTAGCTCATATGGCAAGTCTATTTTTAGTTTTGACAGGAACTGCTAAATTATTTTCCAGAGTGGCTCTACCATTTTACATTCCCACTAACAAGATATGTGTGATCTAGTCTCCACATCTTCACTAGGAATTAGTACACTGGTTCCTCCTCGCCATCTTCAGAGTTGGCTCCTGTATGTTGCTTCTCGTCTTTCAGGACCTAGAGAGCCTTTATAGCCTCTGTAGAGCCTTTTCTAACCCCACCTGGAGCAGCTCACTTCTCTCTCTCTTGTGCCATCTCTGATACTTCATTGATCATTGCATTTTAATTATTTATTGTCAGAGTCTGTGTATTCCCCTCTATTCTGAGCTACATGATGATACAGACCATGCCGGATTCCTCTTGATTCCTGGAGCATCTGGTCCAGTTCCATTCTGGGCACATAGTGGGTGCTCAGTAAGTGTGTGCTAAGTGAACAAAAGAATGAGTGGAAAGAACGGTAGCCCCCGCCCTTGCTAGAAACCTTTTTAAAATAGACATCACGCCTTCCTCTGTGTCTCCCAGCAGCAGTTAATAGGGTGCTCTGTTTGTGTAGATGCTCAATAAATGTCGCCTAAACTGTTCAGGTGGCTTATCTTCCCTCTGCACCCATGAGATAAGCACATGAAAGAGAGAATAGACCTAAGAATCCTTGCATTAAGGATCAGATGTCATAAATTTTGTAATATTCTTATAATCTTTACAATCACTCAGCATTCATCTGTGTGATGAGAAATCAAAACAGAATAGTCCTTTAAGTCAAAGAATGCCTCTGTGACCATCCTTTCATTCCTGGTTACATATGAATTGGGGAGGGCAGTGTTTTATGTTCCTGAATTCCTTTTGCCATCTCAGAAGGATCTGGGACTTTTCTGTTTTTCTGCACTGGTATAATTTGACATGTTGATTATGAAAGGGTCATTAACTTCAACATTTTTGATCACTTTTTGACTCTGTATTTTCTCAACTCTGAAGTCTGTTAATTTGCACTTGTTTATATGTCTCTGTAAGAGTCACTCTGGCCCTTGAGGACTGGGATATGTTTTGTCTGGAAAGTAGATTGTAAGCCCCTTGAGAGCAAGGACCTTATAATTCCTAGGAATGCATTCTGGACATTGTCAGTGTTCAATTAATGATAATATTGGAAGCCTGACTAAGGTTACCTGTCACATTGACATTTCCCTTTTCATCTGTAAGGCTTCATGCCCTCTGCAAATAGCAGTTAGGCTGATTTGATAGCATTGATTCTACTGAAAATTACCCTATTTACCCACTGCAACTTGTTCTTTGGGGTACTTTCAAATTGTAATTTTTGATCAGTTGATATTGTTCTCCTTCTAATACCGTGGTTGCATATGCACCAGGGAGGACTGTATTTCAGAATGCTCAAGTCTTTTGCATAATGAAAAGTAAGCTGATACCATCTAGGCTTTCAAGGCTTGTGCTTCTTGCCCCCACTGATAATTAGGTGATAAACTCCAAGTGTGATTGCTATCTAAGATTATCAGAAGGAAGCCTTCATAACTATTCAATGTATGTGTTTTATTTCTCTAGGTTCTAAAATGGAATAGATGTGTATACTATGCCCCATGGCTATGAAAGTTAAGTAGATATCAAGTGTTCAGTGAAGTCTAGGTTCTGAAATTAAAAGGGCAGATTTGGATTTGTTCATTGGTGATGGCGGAAGTAGGGGAATTGTTATTGTAAGTCAGGTTTATTAAAGTATACTACACATACAGCCAGGTTCGCCCTTTAAGATGGACAGTTTGATGTGATGGACGGGTTATATTTCAATTACTCGATAATTCAACTGTCCCTCCAACACACTTTACTACCCCTGCAAAACCCTAACTAAAACTTCCCTTTTTCTGATCATCTGTGTCCTTCTTCTTCCCAGTGTGCTGAAGGAAGTGTACCAGGCCTTCAATCCTAAAGCAGTGGTTTTACAGCTGGGAGCAGATACCATTGCTGGGGACCCAATGTGTTCCTTTAACATGACGCCAGTGGGGATCGGCAAGTGTCTGAAGTATGTCCTTCAGTGGCAATTGGCAACTCTGATTTTAGGAGGAGGTGAGTTCAAAGGAAAATCACCAAGAGAACTTGTCAGTCCTCCTCCACATTTTCTTGGCCCAGAAGCCTAACTATGAAATAGATTACCTCCACAGTTCAGCATAGACTCTGGCTCATCCCTAGTCAGCTTGACATGTGCTTTGATGCCCAGGCACTCTGAAGTTTGTTTTAATTCTGAAAAAAAAAAGGTTAAAAGTAGAACATTTGCCTAACATACACAGACTCTGTGCTCAAACCTGAGCACTGAATAAAAAAGAAGCTGGGCAGTGATGGCGCACGCCTTTAATCCCAGCATCTGGGAAGCAGAGGCAGTTGGATCTCTGTGAGTTTGTGGCCAGCCTGGTCTACAGAGTGAGTGCCAGGATAGCCAGGGCTATACAGAGAAATCCTTTCTTGAAAAAAAAAACAAAAACAAAAAAACAAAACAACAACCAAAAAACAAGAAGAAATTGGATAATAATCGAGGATGTCAGCCCCCAAAGACTGTGGACCCTTCTGTCAGAGTAGTCATTAATTCTCTGCTCACCATCATGTTTTTGAACATACCAATGAAATTCTATCTCCACTCAGAATGAATAGTAAATACATGAATTAACTGAATGCCTAAGATGCATTCAAGAATCACTCCTTTCCCCTAAAGCATGATTTTGTTCTAATGAAGCACACTTGAGAGACCCATAGTCTCTTGAGCATTCATTCCTGCTTCCCTCTTACTGATTTTTGCATTATTAAACTAACAGAATGCTAGGTCTGTTTGACAGAATCATGTGTTTAGAACGTTGCCCAACCTCAGTCACTTTATAGGTAGGTGCCTTAGAATGGATCTTCTGTCTCTTTACCAGCCACAATATTTATTTCTTTGGATCAATAAATTAGTATATTAAAGTATGGTCAAGTGGATTGAGATTAAAATGCACACATATGCCATTAGGCATGGTAGCACACGTCTATAATCCCAGTACTTGGGAAACAGAATCAAGAGGATTGGGAGTTAAGGGCTATCGTGGGCTACACAAGACCTTGTCTCAAAAATGTATAAAAAAGTGCATATATATAGGCTAGAGATTGCTCAGTGGTTATGGACACTTGCTGCTCTTGGCAAAGGGCCAAGGTTCAGTTCCCAGCCCCATATGGCAGCTCAACTCTTTGTACCTCCAGTTACAGGGGATCTAATACCCTCTTCTGGCCTCTGTGGGAACCCAGCATGTACATGGTATACATACATACATGGAGGCAAAATACTCATACACATACAATTTTTGTAAAGAAATTAAATGCATATATGATGAACAAGCTAATAGTTTTATCAGCCTCTTGTAAAATCCAAGTCCAGGTAAATCTGGGAAGGTCTTATGTAAGCAAGTAAGCACGCAGCACAACCTAGTCCTTTGACATCTTCAAACCCCAGAGAGACCAAATTAAAACTGATTGCAAGAGACACTCTCTTATGAAAAGCTGGCAAGAAATTTATTAACTTCATCTCCAGAAAAAGATAAAATTGATAAGCATTGCATGGCATATTACTTTCCTTAACAACACTAAGGATGGCGATTATGATACAGGTCCAGCTGGGGGAAAAAGACCTTTCTACAACAGACATCTGTGAGAATTGAACTTTTGTCTGAGGCTACAGCCTTCTTTTGAAGAGTCTATTAGCATTAGCTCAAGTCCTTTTTCTTTTTTAACCTAAAGCTTGGCTCTTGAATATGTAAGTATAACTCTTCTTACGCAATATGTGCATTCCTGAAAATGCTTGTGCATAAGTGAAATTTTTGCAAATGGACTAATATTGTATGTATACTAGAGGCAGCATACTCCTTAAATAAAACCTATAGTGATTCTTTTTTAAATTAATAACTATGCCAAATAAGTCTGTCTTACAGACTAATTTTCCATGCCAGGAATGTTTCAAGTAATATCCAATCTGTATAGCTGAGATCCTCTGCTCTTATTAACACATAGACAATTAGTAGAGATGGCTGCATTCTCAAGCTTCATCAGAACGGTCCCACTGAGGCCTGAAAGATACACTCCAGAAACCCTAGCCTCCCCGGCCTTTCAAATAGTAGGAAAGCTCAAGACAAGGGTAACGGCAGGTCCCAGTTTCTATATGTTAGCCCGGCGTAACAATGAATAGTGTCCTCTATTGCTCTTCAAAGCATATCCTTTTGGATGATAATGTATATGGTCACCCTACCTAAAATAGAGCTGCTTTTATTTCCTTTGGTCTGCTCCGAGGTTAGGAAATCATTCCATTTTACACTTATACTCTTGGAATTTAGCTAAAGGCCAATGTTCTAATGCTTGCATGGCAAACACATCCATTCAGCACAAAAATATGCTGATTATTAACCAGTGTAATATGGCTTCTGGGTGACTGTGACAGGACCTGACGCGATGGGTCAGGGTGTCAATCATCAGTCCCTTCCTCGTCTCACTTTCTTTGATCTCTGCCAGCAGGCCTGCGTTTTGTGGTGATATTAAAAGAAGGAAGTCTGTTTCTGTCAGCACTTTCCTTTTCTTTTTCCTGGATGCCTTCAGGACTAGATCTGCCAATAGCTTTAAAATACAAATCACAGCCAGCAGTCACTTTATAGAATTGTTGCAAAATTCATCTGAGAAACCATCACATTGGGTAGGTCACCTCCAGACATCTGAGTTCCAGGGTCCTCAGTCTCACTAATGTCTCTTGGTGGAACTGAGATGCTTGGCTTCCTTGGATGCATATTTGCTAGGTGATGAGAGCCTCTTAAATCTGTGTTGCCCCTGAAATTACAAGTTCTACTCTGTGCATGATCTGACTGCCCCCATAAAGTCCACTACCAGGTGGTTTGCAAATATCATTAAGGGATGTTTAAGTAAGATTCTGCAAATTGGAGTTGTCTTTTTAGACCTTTTATTAAAACAATTTTCTCTCCTTCCTTACCCCCTTCCCTCTCCTGTTTTGTGACTATTCTTTCCTAACTTCACAATTCTTGATGGAGACAGGAGGCTATAACCTTGCCAACACGGCTCGTTGCTGGACATACTTGACCGGGGTCATCCTAGGGAAAACACTATCCTCTGAGATCCCAGATCATGAGGTAAGTAAGGCTCTGACAAGTCCTCTCTTCTTTAAGGGGAAGAGCTGAGTCATTCTACCTAATCAAAATCACGTCCTCACCACTCAATACCGTTTTGTTGAGAGACACTTCAATAACAATAACACACTGTTTTGGCAGAATAGTGGACTCTTGTTCCAAAATAGCCAAGACCTTCTGCCTTTTTTTTTTAACAAAAGCTCTCAAAGGCCAACCAACTTTAATTTCTCAATTAATTACAGAGACTGTGGGAAGGGGTCACCTGTTCACACAAAGAACTCTTTGGAGTATGTGCGTACTTTCAGCCCCTAGCCTCAAAAGGCAAGGGGCTCATTTTGAAATAGATAAGCTAGGTTCTGGTCTGTTTTTAGGGATGCCATAGGTGTGATATGACACATATGTGACACATTTGACGGTCATCCTGTTCTCTCAATTGCCTTTGACTAGTGTAAAGTTCAGGAACCATAATCACTAAGAAAGTCAGGTCTGGTGGGTTTCCAGCAATTAGAGGAACAGAGATTGGGGCTGGACCATCCAAACTGTGAAGCGTGTCATCTGAACCATTGCCATTTTCTCTAGTCATATGAGATGGTCTTTACAAAGCCGAGACATCTGTTTTAGTTTTCCCAAAACAAGTAATAAAAGCTATCTGGGACCTGTGAGTGTGCTGATAATCACTAATTCGAAGGTGTACCCCATCTATTCCCACCTACTTCCAGCCCTGGCAGGGAACACATTATCACCAATGAGGGTATAGCCACAAACCTCAGACTGTGTAACTGAGAATAACAAAGCAATCTGTGAAACCCTCCTTCTCCAGCTATTTCCCAAAGATGAGGGATGGTGCTTTGCTTGTAATGTTATGATTTCTGCCAAATGTATGCTGTATACTTGAGAGCATTATGCTTTATGAAGTCTCTATTATTTTTTTTAAATTAGAAGTAACTTAAACTAATTTGCTTCCAATTTTCTTCTAAACATAGGTGAGGTATATAATATGTAACTCAGAGAAACCACTCAATATGTCTAGAATACAAATAGAAGGCACACTGTAATTTGAGACAATTTGCCAGTGTCAGGGTTAATGGAAGTCTCTTTTCTTGACTTGACTTGACTTACCTTTATTCAGTATTTGGAAGCTTAATGAAATATAGAGGTAAGTGCTGTGAACAAATGTAATTGCTGTTATTGCTGTGGGACTATCTCGGATTGTAACTTAGAGCACCGGGACTCTAAAAACTGATCAAGTTATGTCAGAAAGCAGCCATAAGCTGTAGAAGTCTGAATTGAGAGTGAGTGTTGTGTTCCTCAGAAACAAAGGCAAATCGAATGATTCATCTGTATTAAAAGAGTGATAAAATTTTAATAAACACGAATATTGCCTCTGGTACCTGGAGAAGCTGTGCGTGTGAACAGATGTAGGTTTAGCCTTATGGATTGAGATGCTCTGCCTTTATATGGATTCGTTCTGCAAAATTAAATGAGATGTAATGCATGTCAAGTGCCTGAGACACAGTTCGTGGCACCTAACAGACATCTCAGAAATGCAAGTTCTTACTTCCCTTTTGCGTGTTCCACACTTCTTATACCCAGACGTTTATGGCTCTGTCATTCATAAATTTGTCCAAACCCTTTGTGAATCCCTTCTGTCATATTCTTCTGTATAAGAGATATGAGTCATCCAAGAAGGAACAAAGAAGAAAATTGAAATGACAGTATTCTGGTACAATGAGATATCATTTTAATGAAAACTGCCAAAAATAGACCACGCAGTATGAAGGCATATAGAAGTTTTGTGTCACAATACACAATTGCACACAAATATCCTTGTGGTCTTCTGCAATCGAATCAACAAATGATAGATAAATAATATTTTCTGTGTATCCAATATTCGCTAGGAAGTGTACTACTCTCAGTGTCTTAAAAATGTAAATGTGAGGAAGACCTTATCCCCAATCTCATGTGGCTGGAGAGGGAAACTATGCGCAGATAATGATAATGCAGTGCAGAGCAGGAGCTCTAAGGCCAGGCAGGCATGTTCACACACACCTATAATCCCAGCAGTCTGGCCACTATGCAGGAGGAATGTGAGTTTGAAGCCAGTTTGGGCTACATAGCAAGTTCTAGGCCAGGCTGGACCATTTAGGAGATCTCGTCTCAGTTAAAAACAAACAAACGGAAAAAAAAAAAAAAAAAAAAAAAAAAAAAACAAGGTCGGGGCTGGAGAGATGGCTCAGTGGTCTCAACCACTGAAGACCCAGGTTCAGTTCCCAGACACCCATGTGGTAGCTTAAAACCATCTATAACTCCAGTTCCAGGGGATCTGACACATTTTTCTGGCCTCAGTGGACACCAGACGTGCCAATGGTGCATAGACATACACGCAAGCCAAACACCCTTACACATAATTTTTTTCAGAGTAACCAGAAGATAGTAGGAACAGTGACTAAGGGGATGTGCATCAACTATGAAGGGAGTACAGAGGAGAGCACAAAATACTCTGCCCTCTGGGAGCCAAAAAGAGACTTGAGAAATACAGTCAGCACAGTCACAAGGTCAAGCTATTGCAACAGTCAGCTATGGCCCAGCTGACCTCCTCACTATCTCTGTTCTCATTCTTGGACTTTGTTCATCCATCTCCTAGGATAATAGTCATCATCATCCTCCTCCAAACGCCCTTTCCCCCTTCTGTACTGTCTTCCTAGGCCTAGCTGCAGTCCCCGTGACTTTCAAAGCCCTTTAGCCTAAATCAACCAAGCCCTTTTGAGTATTCCTTTACTTCCTCATTCATTTACCAATTCATGTGGCCCCTACTACTTTCCAGAACGGTTTCAGATCTGGATTCAGATACACACAAACAAGGTAAACCCAGTGTCCTCAAAAATACTGCCCTCTAATTGAGGCAACAAAGCAGTGTGTTCAAATCCAAGACAGTCAGAGAGCCAAAGTGAACTCTTAACAGATCATTGCACCAAGCTGAGAGTGGTGGTGCACAGCTGGAGTCCTAGCACCAAGCTGAGAGTGATGGTGCACAGCTGGAGTCCTAGCACTCAGCAGGCTGAGGCAGGAGGATCACAAGTTCAAGGGCAGCTTGAGCTACCTGTGCAGCCAGTTCCAGGACCAACCAGTGAGACCCTGAAACTTTGAACTGAATATTCAAAATGGATTGAGAGTTTGCTGAGTGAAGAGGAGGGGCTACGCAGTACACCAAGGGGACAGAAGGTGGAAAGAACAGTAAAAAACGTTATACTATGTGTATAACACAGACTACATAAGAGACTAAGAACACTTGGGGCTTTAGTGGGGATTGTGACCAGATATGAAGAGCCTTAAATGCTGCACAGGTGAGCCCGGAAAAAAAAAAGATGAACTTAATTTTTAGAAAGCTAATTTGGGGCTGGAGATGGTTCCATGGTTTTAAAAAAAGCACAGGCCCTCTGGATAAGTGAGACAGTTGATTAGCTTGAACTGTTTAGGAGGCCCCTAGGCAGTGGAACCAGGACCTGTCCCTGGTACATGAGCTGGCTTTTTGGAGCCTAGGGCCTATGCTGAGACATTTTGCTCAGCCTTGGTGAAGGGAGGAGGGGACTGGACCTGCCTCAACTGAATCTACCAGGCTGGGCTGACTCCCCAGAGGAGACCTTGCCTTGGAGGAGGTGGGAATGGGGGGAGTATTGGGGGGAAGGATGGGGGGTGGGAGGAGGAAGGACAGGGGAATCTGTGGCTGATATGTAAAATTAAATTAATTATAAAATAAAAATATTTTTTAAAAAGCACTTGCTATTCTTAGAGAGGACCCAGGTTTGGTTCTCAGCACCCACATGGTAGCTCATAACTGCCCATAACTCCAGTTCCAGGGAATATGATACCTTCTTCTGACCTCTACAGGTACCAGGCATGCATGTGGTACATACATGCAGGCAAAAACACATACATGTAAGTTAAGATAAATAAATCTAATATTTTAATTAAAAAGCTTATTGGTTAGAAAGTCGAAGGTGATTGCTAATGGAATAAGCTTGAAAAGTCATACAACTAAGTTAAAAGGTTCAGGGTTACTCCTAGAACATTTAGTCACAGTGTTTGTGAGCAGAAGCATTACAGATTTGGGTTGTTTTGCCTTGTTTTTTGAGACTTTATAACTAACAACTGTATATAAATAATGAGATTTCCTGCAGATGAAACAGTAATCTAAACACAATTCATTTGTTTCAAATATACCTTCTACATATAGTTTGATGATAACTTTACAAAATTTTTAATTATTTCTTGCATGAAACAATGTAAGGTATGGTCATTACCACTTCTGATATCAGAGTAACATGAAAAAGTTTTAGATTTTGGAGCATTTTGGATTTCAGATCGAAGATTCTCAAACTATACAGTTTTTCTGGTCACCGTGTTTGGTTGTCTACTTTAGTTTTCTGTGTTTGGTAAAATGTTAAGCACCCACCTAACTTGCATTCCTTCATTAAATAAGTAAATAAGCAAGCAAGTATTTGAATAATATTTGTCAGCATTCTTATAAGAGATTTCTGTTTTCAAGATGGGAGAAATAGAAATATACTATAGTCTCTCTGGGAACATAAGTCAACCCATAGCACCAACTTCCTGTCTTTTTCAAGAAGTGCCATGTATCCAAAGCATGAGAAAGCCATCTATCCCAAGGAAAGTTCTATATTGCCATACAGGGAAGGGATCTGAAAAAGCAAGCCCAACACAGATTCTACAAGCATTTAGGGGTGGCTCCTGGAGCACAACCTCATGCCATATCAAATGGATGATGACAAAAAGCCAGCAATCAGGAATTGGGAAGCCAGGCTGGACAGACAAGCATGGGGTAGAGATATCACAACTGGGAAAGCTTGAGAGAAATGGAGCATGCATGTGTGACTGGGCCCTGAAACTCTACCATGGGGAAGCCCAAACATGACAGGAACCCATAAGAAGGCCAGTACATGGATAAGTAACACTATTACATGGAAAAATAGTCTGTAATCTAG